ACCTGCCCTGGGTGTTTGGGGACATCTCTGAGTCCACAAGTCCTGCGGGAATTGAGGGTCTCTGGAGGCTGGGACGTCCTGAGGTGACACAGCCGTGTGTGGTTTGGCCACAGATGTCTGGGGACACGTGAAGCCAAGAGATAAAGCACGTGTTTTCCATCCCTGGAAGTGTCCAAGGCCGGGTTGGATGGGGCTTGGAGCATCCTGGGATAGTGGGAGGTGTCCCTGCCCATGGCAGGGGGGTGGGATGAGATGAGCTTTGAGGTCCCTTCCAACCCAAACCCAAACTCTGTGTTTCTGAGTGAGGGGAGGTGATGGGGGAGCAGTTCCCACAGGGTCACAGAGGGCTCTCAGCACTCGCTGTCTGACTCCAGACTGGGCCTGTCACTGTAAACACAGGTTAACTTTCTCATCAGGAAGTTCTGGCTTCTGTCCAAGGCTCCCCCAAGAATTTTACAGGACTGGGAGGTCATTTTAGGCCTTGGAAGGAAAATGGCCCTGAAGTTCCTGGTCCTTCCTCTGAAGCTGAGGGCTGTGTGCTGGCTGCTTCAGTGTCAGAGACACAAACAGGGCGCCAAGAAACACTTGTAGGGAATTACGGACCGTGGAAGTCGCTGTTACTTCCCAGAGCTGCTTTGGGGCAGAATTCCCCTAAAATCCCACCCTCCTCCACCTGGCCCCGAGGTGCTGGGAGGAATCCGTGAGTGACACAACCCATTCCTTCGCAGGACCAGGCCGTGAACTTGGCCAGCATGGACGTGGAGGCCCCGCTGTCCATGACCCTGAACCTGTCGGACCTGGCGCACAAGGAGCACATCCTGGAGCTCCTGCCGGCCGTGGAGCCCCTGGAGAACCGCGTGCGGTACCTCATCTCCCAGGGCAACGAGGGGGGCTATTTCCGCATCCACCAGAAGGAAGGGCTCAGTTTCCTCCACCTGGGCCGCAAGAAAATCCTGCCCGGCACGTACGTGCTGGAGATCGTGAGCGTGCCCCTGTACCGCAGGCGGGAACTGCAGAAACTCGAGGCCAAGAACCACCTCAACTACTTGGCGGGGGAGCTGGGCCAGGCACTGAGGATGAAGCTCCAGCTCCAGCTCTACTAAAAAAAAACAAAACAAAACACCACCACCACCACCCCCACCACGAGATCCACCCGACAGTACAGTCCTTCTTCTCCTTCAACAACGGGCTCCTCCCCTCCTGCCACCGCCTGCACGGGACAACCCACGGGGAATGGCCCTCTGGGATCCAGCCCCTGCCTGGGCCCACCAGGGACGCTCTGCTCCGTGAGCCAAACCCGGGCCACGCCGCACCGAGGGCTCCCGGGAGCTCTGCCCAGGGGTCCCGACCCCGACCAAGGGTCCAACCTCGGCAGCGGGGACTCCCTCCCCCTGCTCAGCTCTCTCCTGGCTCCTGTAAACCAAGACACTGTCTCCAGGCTGGCAGGGTGGTGCCATGGGGCACCTCCATGGTCCTATCCCATCCCAGCCCAGGGAATGTGCAGGGAGGGGCTGGGGGCAGCTTGGGAAGGAGCTCTGGCAGGGTGTGGTGTCAGTGCATTTCCCAGCAGCTCCTGTTCCTCCTTTGTACCTTGTCATGATGGTGCTGCAGAAACCATCCCATCCCTACCCTGGCTGTGTTTTGTCTCTCTCTGTCTTCTCCATGTTCTCTGACCCTTTTGGGGCTCCTCTGGTGCTTTTGGGGCTCCTGTGGTCCCTTTAGGGCTCCTCTAGTCCTTTTAGGCTTCTCTGGTACTTTGGGGCTCCTCTGGTGCTTCTGAGGCTCCTCTGGTGCTTTGGGGCTCCTCTGGTGCTTTTGGGGCTCCTCTGTCAAGCAGCAAAGGTCACCTCTGAGCAAAAGGACCACAGGTCATGGGACCACAGGACCCCTCAGGTCTTCCCACCACGACAGGCTGAACAAATCTGGAACTGGAAGGGTTTTTCCAGAGCTCCAGCGAGTCCAGGGGTTGAAGGTTGTCCTTTCTGAGGAGGAGCTCCGGGGTGGGGAAAAGGCAGATAAATTGAAATGCCTCGTTGGACGTGGCTGGACAAAGTCAGCTGGTGGGAAACCCCCCGTGGAGAGCCCCTGGATGCTTCCAGAGGGGTGAGGGGCTCAGGGGGATGCACCTCCCACGCTGCAGGGGCACATTTCCTGGCCACCAGCTTGAAAATCCTGGGAAAAGCAAGGTGGGGAATGGGGTGGGAGGCAGGGACAGCCACTTCCTAAAGAGCCCTGGGCTTGGAGCCGCTCTGTCCATGCGGGAGCTCCTCTGGGAAGGGGGCTCAGTCCCTCCCCTCTGGTTGTCCCCTCCACCTTGGGCAGGCCGAGGTGACACCAGAGATGGACAGTCTGTGGTCCCTGAAGGTGAAACGCACTCCAGAGCGCGTGGAAAACGGGAATTCCACCCCACAACCAATCCCTTTCCCCCAGAGCTGCTCCCCTGGCGCTGCCTGAAGCTCTTCCCACATTCCCCAACCCCCACCTGCATCTCTTGGCAAGTCCCCCCGAGGGACAAAGGTGCTAATTCACACGGAACTACCTTTTATCCCAGCCCTGAGGTGCTCCCAGCTGCGGGAATCTGGGCCGGGATCACCGGCATGAGTGCACTGTCCCCACCACCCCCAATATTTATGGAGAGCCACCAAAGTCCTGCTCGCTGGGCCTCGGGAGGAGTGCAGATTCCTGGAGCTTTGTTGTTGTTTTGTGGGGTTTTTTTTTTGGGGGGGAGGGGAAGGGAAAGGGGGGTGGATTTTTCCCGGTCCCCGAGGGGTGGGGGAAGTGTGTGTGTTTACTGTATTGGGGCTGAAGTCAAACTTGAAAACTCTTTTTGCAGCTCCAGACTCTGGATTTTACAAGGGTCCCAGAGCTTTGTGACAGGATGGGTGGCCTGATGTTTGGGATTGCTTTTCTGGTTTGGTTTGGGGTTTTTTTATTATTTTTTTTATTATTATTATTTTGGTTTGGTTCGTTTAATTTTTTGTTTGTTTGTTTTTTTCCAACAAGGTGCGCTTTTTTTACCAAAAAAAAAAAAAAACAAAAAAAGAAAAACCCCCCAAAAATATTAATAATTATAAATTAGCAGAGCTGGGTTTGTGTGTGTGTGTGTTGAGCCTTAAAAAGAAAAAAACTCAAATGGAAAAAGCTCAAGGTTTCCTTCCTTCCTCTCTGGTGCAGTGTTTTGGTTTGTTTTTTTTGTTTTAATTAATTTTGTACTGACATTTCTTCCTGGTTGGTTGTTTTTGGTTGGTTTTTTTGGTTTTTTTTGAGGGGGAGGGGTGAAAAGTGTTGAAACCCAAAACCTTGTGCCCCTTGTCCCGCACAGAGAGGTGGCTCTTTGTGGAATTCCTTTTTTTTTTTTTTGTATCAGAAGCAACAGCAACAATAAAATTATTTTGGGTTAGGTGGGTCTGTGTTTCTTCCTCGGCTGGGCATGGATTTGGGGTGGGAAGGGTGGGAGGTCACTGGGGGCAACTGGAGAGGGTGGGAGGACCCATCCAAGCTCCAACGTGGAGCTTCTGTGGACACACAGGTGGGATTGTCCAGCCTGGAGGAGAGAAAGCTCCAAGGAGACCTTGGAGCACCTTCCAGGGCCTAAAGGGGCTCCAGGAGAGCTGGAGAGGGACTGGGGACAAGGAATGGGGGGACAGGACACAGGGAATGGCTTCAAAGTGAAATTTAGGTGGGATATTGGGAAGGAATTCCTGGCTGGGAAGGTGGGGAAGGGACTGGGATGGATTTCCCAGAGAAGCTGTGGCTGCTCCATCCCTGGAAGCGTCCAAGGCCAGGTTGGAGCACCCTGGGACAGTGGAAGGTGTCCCCCATGGATGGGCTTTAAGGTCCCTCCCACCCCAAAGCTGTGATTCCCTGATTCCCTCTCCCAGCCGAGCGCAGGGATCGTGTCGTGTGTCGGGTCGGGCTCCAGCTGGTTGAGTTGGGCTCCAACCCTCCTTCCAGGCTGCTATTCCCGCTTTTAGGAAGCTCTTCCCGCCTTCCCGTTGCAGAGAAGGAGCTTTGTGCCACAAGAGGGCAGGCGGGACTGCGGCATCGGCCACTGGGAGGGATCCCGGAGCCTTACTGGGAGCACTGGGAGCAGCACTGGGAGTGGGCTCGCTCCCCTGGCACGGGAAAACAGAGTCCCGTGGGCTCAGGCGCCCCTCCAAGAGCTCCCTGGGCGCCGTGGGGGAGGACAGGTTTGTGTCGGACCCCCCCAGGATTTGGGGTCTCCCCTGGGACATGGGAGATCCCCCCAGGATTTGGGATTTCCCCTGGCAGATGGGGCAGCCCCCCAGGATTTGGGTTTCCCCTGGGACATGGGGCAGCCCCCCAGGATTTGGGATCTCCCTCAGATCATGGGGCAGCCCCCCAGGATTTGGGATTTCCCCTGGGACATGGGGCAGCCCCCAGGATTTGGGATCTCCCCCCCGAGGACTTGATGGACACCACAGAGCAGAGCTGGAGCTGGCTGGGGTTAGCACAGTGCAGCTTTATTTCCATGGAGGGGGACGAGGTTCTCTCTCTCCCCCGTGGGCTCCAATCCCTTCCTACAAACCCTCCCTGCTGGCCCACGGCCACCAGCCCGCCACGCCTTTGGCCAGCTGAGCACCCCTGCTCCCCAGGCGTGGGGAGAACAGCCTTGATCCCCCCTCTGCTATTCCCACAGCCCCTCGGATTCCCAAAAGCAGGACGGCCAGGGAAGGGCCAGCCACCCCCGGCGACCCCCTGGGCGTGTGGAGCCCACGCGGGTCCCGCAGGAGCAGGGAGTGGCCGGAGCGGGGCCACCGTGGGGGGAGGCTGCTAGCCCGGGGCTGGCTGAGAGGCATCTCCCAGGGGTTTTGTGGGATCTCTGATCCCTCCCGGGATCCCAGCGGGGCCACCCAGGCAGGGTCGCTGCGAAAGCAGAGAGAGGCTGCAGGGCTGGAGGCCAAAAAAACAGGGGCTGCACGCGGTGTGGGGGGAGGGAAAGGGGGTCTCTCCACCTCGCCCTGCCCTTTTTTTTTGGGGGGGGAGGGAGGTTCTTGGGGACTGCCACACAGAGAGGAACAAAGCCAGCACTTGGGTCTGGTGCCTGGAAACCCCCTGACAGACACAGCTCAGCTACGGGGACACGCACACACACTGGACCACGGTCAGCACTCCCCGCGGGACACGGACGGGGCGGGGGCGGCGTGGGAGGGGGGCAGGAGGAGCCGGGGAAGGGGGTCCAAGCTCTGCCGTGGCACCGGGCAGAGCCCCGCGGGCCGTGGCCGAGGGCAGGTCCCGCCATGCCCTGTCCCGTCCCCTCCTGCCCCGCGGGCAGGGTGGGCAGCGGGCACCACCCCGACCCCCATCCTCCCCCGGAGTCCCGCGGGCTGCGAAGAGAACCGAAAAGTGCTTAGAAAAGAGAGAAACCCCTAGAAAACTGCCTCCCACACACACACACACATTTCCTCCCCGGCCAAGAGCCCGAGCTCCCCGCCCCGGTGCCCGGAGCATCCCCGGGGCAGCAGCGCCCAGGGAGGGGGGCCCGGGGCCGGGGCCGGCCGGGGTGGGGGGCACGGGGGGCGCCCCGGCCCTGCCCTCTACACCAGGGCATAGTCAAACTGGCCCCTCTCCAAGCCCTCCTTGTGGTCGGTCCAGGAGGAGGCGGGCATGCGGCTGTAGGGGTCCAGCAGGATGCGGAAGCAGCGAACCATCAGCATCACCAAGAAGACCAGGAGGAAGATGACGAAGGCAAAGACAGTTTTCTGCTCGGCATCCATGCCCGCGGCGCCGGCCGGGTGCTCCACCAGGGACGGGGAGAGCAGTTCATAATCCATCGTCGATGCATCATTCATGGCAGAGGCGGGAGGGGCGCGGGGGATGGGGAAGGTGGGGGGTGGGATTTCGGCTGGGACGGGACGGGGGCAGCCAAACTTCAGCGTCCTGCAGTGCCCACGCACCCCGGGCACGGCTCACTCCATGGCCACCGGCTCGGGGGGCACTCCTGCCAGAGCCAAGAGCTCCTGGAGGGGAAAGAGAGGTGGTGAGGGAGCAGCAATGGGACACGGGAGAAGGAATTGGCTACAGGGAAAGGAATTGGCTACATGGAAAGGAATTGGCTGCAGGGAAAGGAATTGGATAGAGGGGAAAGGAATTGGCTACAGGGAAAGGAATTGGCTACAGGGAAAGGAATTGGCTACTGGGGGAAGGAATTGGCCACTGGGGAAGGAATTGGCTACTGGGAAAGGAATTGGCTACAGGGAAAGGAATTGGACACAGGGAAGGGAATTGGACACAGGGGAAGGAATTGGACACAGGGAAGGGAATTGGACACAGGGGAAGGCAGAGCTGGTGAGGGAGAAGGAGCTGGACAAGGGAAAGCAGAGGTGGTGAAGGAGGAGGAAAGCAGAGCTGGCGAGGGAGCTGGAACACTGGGAAAGCAGAGGTGGTGAGGGAGGAGGAATCAGACACGAGGAAAGCTGAGATGGTGAGGGAGCAGGAAATGGCCCCAGGACACAGCAAGAGGCACAGGGAAGGGCAGGGAAGCTCACAAGAGGATTTCTGGTTTTTTTAGCAAGCTCAAGAAGCCACCCATGAGGGGCACAAGGGCTGGGGGGGGCACTGATGCAGAACTTGCCTCTCCAGTCACAAATCCCCAGAAATCCTCTGGAGAGGGCCCAGTCCAGCCACAGGGAATTCCCCCTCCCTCAGCCAGAGGGGGCTGCTCAGGCTCTGCCCATCCTGGCCCCCGAGTTCTCCCGAGGTGGACACGGGCTCGGAATGTGCTCCCTCCCGCTGAGGGACACGTGTCCAGCTGTTCTCCCTCGGGTTTGGCAGCAGCAGGGGCTGGTTGTGGGTGGAGAAGGAGGGCACCCACCTCACTGCAGCTCTGTGGGGACACCAGCATCGCTACTGCAGCAGGAGCAGGAGGAGGCCCTGTCCGAGCAGCCACGTCACTGAGGAGAGGACTCCAGGGTCCAGCTTTCCTGGGCTGGGGAGGCAGAGCAGAGGCACAGAGGGGGGTTAAAGGGCTGGGGAGGTCACTGGGAGCCACAGCACGAGGCACCCCTGGAGTTCACAGCTCTGGAGGGAGTTAACACAGGAGAACATCCACAACAACCTCCCTGGGAGAACATCCACAACAACCTTTCCAGGAGAACATCCACGGCAACCTTTCCAGGAGAACATCCACACCAACCTCCCTGGGAGAACATCCATGGCAACCTTCCCAGGAGAACATCCAACCAACTTCCTTAGGAGAACATCCACATCAACCTCCTTTGGAGAACATCCAACCAACCTCCCTGGGAGAACATCCACAACATCCTTTGGAGAACATCCACCCCAACCTTTCCAGGAGAACATCCACGCCATCATCTCTGAGAGAACATCCAACCAACCTCCTTAGGAGAACATCCAACCAACCTCCCTGGGAGAACATCCACAACATCCTTTGGAGAACATCCACCCCAACCTTTCCAGACCACCCAACCCACCCTCCCCCCTTGTAGCCCCCTGGAGCCTGAGTGCTCCCAGAGCTGTGGAAACTCCAGAAAAAAAAAATCAAAACCCCCTCTAGGAGATGGCAGGACCCATCCAGAGCATCCACTGCTGCTCCCCAGCACTGCCAAGGCCACCCCTGACCTTGTGCCACATCCACTGGGCTTTCAAATCCCTCCAGGGATGGGCACTCCAGCACTGCCCTGGGCTGGACAACCCTTTCCATGAAGGAATTCTTCCTGATATCCCACCTAAACCTCCCCTGGTGCTTCCCACGGACACCTCTGGGTGGAAAAAAATCCCAGAGCTGCAACAAATCGTTTGGGGTAATAAAGACCAATAAAGCACTTGGAGCTGGAGGTGCCCAGCTGGCTCCCATCCCAAACCCAGGGAGGAACAGGCACATCCAGGACTAAATAGAACATTTTCTGCTCCACAGCATCCCTGGTTTTATAGCCCGGAACATTCAGGATAAAGGATTTCCCTCTCGCTGAGGGAAAAATCAGGAGGCACTGGACCAGATTTCCCGGGGAAGCTGTGGCTGCCCCATCCCTGGAAGTGTCCTAGGCCAGGCTGGAGCACCCTGGGACAGTGGAAGGTGTCCCTGCCCGTGGGAATGGGACGATCTTTAAGTTTCCTCCCGACCCCAAACATCTTTTGGTGCCGCGATCCGAATTTCCCCGGGGGGGGATTTCGAGCAGAGCCCCCCAGCCCTCTCTGCTCAGGCAGTGGGCTGAAGGCAGCTGTTATTTCAGGAAGGTTTGATGGAGTTTTATTAAGATTCACGTTCCCTTAGTAACTGGGGAGGAGAACACGAGCAGAGGGAATGGCTTTGATGGGGGGGGGGATGGTGGAAACGCTCCCGGATTCCACGGGGCCGTGCCGAGCTTTTCCCGGCTCTGCAACCCCAATCCCACGTTCCTTTGGGGAGCAGCAGAGAGCTCATGAGGTGTTTATTCCAAACTGGAATCCAGCTGGAGGGGAGGGCTCTCCATGCCCACCCAGCACACCCCCAGACTGGGCACCTCTCGGGTGGGCAGGGGGGGAAGGGTCTGGGCTGGCACTCAGGTATTCCTGATTATCCCATCCCTCACATCCTGCTGGGGTTTTTTTCCCCAGGAGGCAGCACCTGGAGCTGAGCTGGGGGGGTGGGAAAGCACAGGAGGGAAGGCAGCTTTTGGTGTTGAAAGGTGGTGATGGGAAAACAAAAAATGGGGGTGGGAAAGGTGGTTTTAATGTAAATGGGGAGATTCAGGGGGAGATGTCAGGAAGGAATTCCTCCCTAGGAGGGTGGGAAGGGCTGGATGGAATTCCCAGAGAAGCTGTGGCTGCCCCAGCCCTGGAAGTGTCCAAGGCCAGGTTGGAGAAGAGAAGGTTTCAAGGAGACCTCAGAGCCCCTAAAGGGGTTCCAGGAGAGCTGGAGAGGGACCTGGGACAAGGGATGGAGGGACAGGACACAGGGAATGGCTTCAAAGTGAAATTTAGGTGGGATATTGGGAAGGAATTGCTCCCTGGGAGGGTGGGGAGGGGCTGGGATGGATTTCCCAGAGCAGCTGTGGCTGCCCCATCCCTGGAAGTGTCCCAGGCCAGGTTGGAGCACCCTGGGAGAGTGGAAGGTGTCCCTGCCCATGGCAGGGGGTGGCACTGGATGGGCTTTAATGTCCTTTCCAACCCAAACCATTATCCCACCTTTCTTATCAGCCCCTTGAAGGTCTCCCTGGAGATCCTCCTCCTCTATTCCCAATTTTTAGGGCCTGAGTTCCTGGGAGATGGGAAAAGGCTTTGCTGGCAGGTGCAGCTCCCTCCCCCCTCCCCTTCACCTCCAGATCACAGGGTCTGTCTGTCCAGGGTCTGTCTGTCTGTCCAGGCAGGTCTGTCTGTCCAGGCAGGTCTGTCTGTCCCAGGTAGGGTGGAGGCCTCTCTGTGCCTCCCTGGCTCCCCTGGTGCTCCCACAGGAGCTCCCCCCAGATTCCTTGCAGGAATTCCTTGCCTTTTTCAGTCAACGTTGCTGCTGGATCCAGCCCAGGAATCCTGCTGGGATCGAGGCTGGATCTTGGGCTGAGCTCAAGCAGGGGCTCTGCCAGGGGAGGGGAGAGCTCAGCAAACCCCTGGAGCTGGGGCTGTGTCCTCAGGGGGTTCTGCCCCACACATCGTGTGGCTCCAGGAGATGTCCTGATGTGGGTCTGGATGCCCCAAGGAGCTCCTGAGCCCCAGCAGGATCCCTCAGGTGCCGTGGAGGGGGCAGATATCCCCAAAACCTGCCCCAAACATCTCCCTCTTCCAGCACCTTCCACCACAGGGGCTCCAGGTCTGACCCCCCCCCCAAAGCCCCACGTGGGAGCTGGGCTGGTTTTCCTGCTAAACCTGTGGATAACAGGAAGGCCACCTCCTCCTCCAGCAGCTCTCCAAAGCCATGGAGACACCCTGGAGGGGCTCTCCCAGCCTGGCAGCTCCAACAGTTTGGGAAGATGGGCCATGGACACGCCTTGGATCAGCCCCCCCATCCTCCCTGAGGGCCAGGGGTGTCCCATCCACGTTTTGGGAAGAGGAAGGGACAACCCTTCAGCCCGAGGGGGGTGTTCAGCCCTGTCCTAGCTAAGCAGGGATGTTTTTTTTCCCCCAAAAATCCCTGGGATTCCTGCTCCTCCTGGGGAATCCCAGCCAGGTGCAGGACCCTTCCCACCCCCTGCTCACCCACGGAAAACCCCCCCCGCTCCCAAACCACCCTCCAGACCCCCGGGAAAGGCCGTTCCCACCCCAAATCCCGTCCTCCTGCCCTCTCCACCCACGCTGGATATTCTGGACCCTGAGCCCGACACGGGTGGGGGGTTCCCTGGCACCCCCACTCCCCCCACGCACCCCCTTCGCAGTGCCGGCTCTGCTCCCCACGGGAGCATTCCCGAGGGGCTGGGGCGTGGATAGTACCTGGAATGCCGGCTCCATCCCTTGCCATGCCGGGGGGAAGGAGCGGCCGCCTCTCCCCGGGAGCGCTCAGGGAAGGAGCCGCTCCCGACTCCCGCCGGAGCGGGTTCCTATGGCGATGCGGAATCGATTAGAATAAAAAAGGTGGAGCGCAGCAACTGGAGCCGGGAGAAGTTTCGTGAGCCGCTGCCTGGGAAAAGCAGACCGTGGGAGAGCTCAGCGCCGGGGGCTGAGCCTGCCCGCCCCCACCTGCGGCTCCTCGGGCCTTTTATCCCAAAAAAACATCCCCTTCCAATCCCCAGGGATGCATCTCTGCCCCTCCGGGATCCTCCTGTGTGTGTCTGTCCAGACCCACAGCCTGGGATGCTCCCGAATCCTCGGGATGCTCCCGAATCCCTGGGACGCTCCCGAATCCCTGGGAAGCTCCCGAATCCCTGGGACGCTCCCGAATCCCTGGGATGCTCCCGAATCCCTGTGGCACTCGGGGAAAAACGATTGTGCACCAGGGACCCCAAAATCCTACTGCAACCCCCCCCCAAAAAAAAAACCCGGGTAGCTTCCCACCCTTCAGGTTCCCTTTTGGGATGCAAAGAGCTGCCCCAGGGAGAGATGCCCGGGATCCCAGAGAGCTCTTCCAGAGGATCCTGGAGCCAAAGCAGGAAGCCAGCATTCCCAACGGGATCCCGGAGGATGAGCTCTGGCTGCCCCTGCCTCTCCCTCCCCACCCCTGGGAGCCGCGGGAGAACTCCGGGGATGCTTTTCCCACTCGGTGGGAGCCTGGAGAGGTGGAATTCCCAGGAAAAATTGACGCCAGGAGATTGGTGACCACGCCCAGGATGGATCATCCTCCCCACACACACAGGGTCTTATCCACACCCTGCTTCCAGGGAAAATTCCAAGGGAAAAGATGCAACAGCAACAGGGTCCAGGGGGAGGCGAGGGAGTGAAAAAATGACAATAAATGAAAAATGATAATAAAAATCCTTGGTGATGCCACCAAACCCCCCCATCCTGGGCACTGCCAGGCCCTCTCTGCTCCTCCCAGAGCCCCAGCAGGAAGGATTTGGCCCTTCCCAGCCACTCCAAGAACGTTTCCAGGAGCAGGAGGGTGGTTTGTCCCCTGAGCCATCCCTGCTTTGTCCACCCTCTGGAAGAGGGGACAGGAGGGGACCCCCAAGGGGAGAGGGGCAGGACAGCAAATCCCCCCCAAAAAACCTCTGCAAGGGGCTGCAGGGACATTTTGGGCACAGTTTGATGGACCCAAAATCTCAGGGCACCCCCCCCAGGGACCTCCAGGGTGACCCCCACACCGTGTGCCCACCCCAGACATCCTTCCTGACTCAGCAGCTCTCGGCAGGGAGGGAAGAGGAGAAGTTAATTTATTCCTGCGGGTGACTTTGAAGTAATTAATTGATCCTGTCAGAGGCAAAGGGATAATTCCAGGGCCGTGTAATCCCAGCAGGAAGATACTTCTTGTCCCCTGACAAGGCAGCTTTGATAGAGCCGTTTCACCGGCGCTGCCTGGAGTCGGGAAGGGGACATTCCAGTTAATGATTCCCGCTAATTAGA